TATATATATATATATATATATATATATATATATATATATATATACATATATGCACGCGTAATATGTATAAAATAACTATTCAATAAATTAAAAATTAATCAATTTAATAAATATTTCATTCAATTAAAGCTATATAATTATTTTTCTATTCGTTGTAAAATGAGAAGTTGACTAAAATCAACTTAAAATGACAGTCACGCGAATTTTGAAGTTTATCGACAAAATATATATAAAAAACTATTATTACATGTATAAACTATACCATATATATTTTACACATTTATAACAGTACGTTACATATAATTTTTTTAAACTATACGATCACATATAGAAATTTTTGTTCCGCTCTACAAATTTATACACAAATTTTTTACAAATTTTCCATTTAAAGGTGTGAGGTTATACAATTTATATACAAAACTAGAATAAATGTAATAATTTTTATTTTAGCAACTTTTAAAATATAATAATTAATTTAATCAAAGTAAGGATAAAAATTAAATTTCACATGATTATTTTTGATCTATCAAGATCTAAATAATTTAAGGAATTTGGATTTTTATAGATTTTTTAATATCAAAGTTTAAAGTTACTTTTTGTAAATAAATTGATGTATATGACAAATATAATTAAATTCATTTTTGCTAATCTTTATATCTTAATAATAATTATTTATTTATAACAATTTCTGTAAATAGGTTTTTATTACTTTAAGAAATTCTTTTTGAACATATTAAATTTATGTCTACAATTGCGTTATTCAAAAAATATCATTCAAATATCATAAAATATATTATACCTGATAATTTAATTGTCATAAAATCTAAATACAATATAACATATTAGTTATTATATAGAATTAATGAGAAGGTAAGAGATAATCTAAAAAAAATTTGAGATATGTTCACATAAAGCACACATGTACACATAAATTCTATTTATTTATATTTTAAAGTATATAATAATTCATATTACAATGTTATAACTGTATAACAGTATCGAATATGCTTGATCGGAATATTTGTGATATGCCACTAAAACTGGCAAGTAGAATATTTACATAATATAGGATGCCGCTTCATTCCCTCATTTAAAAGATATGTTACTTTGACCAAAAATTGGTAATATTAATTATGATAATTCATATGATGTTGTTTATAACGGTATTACAGCGGCAGCTGGATTAGTATCCTAACTATTATCACAGATGACAAAATGTGTATATTGTGTTATTATAGCATGTATAACATGTCAATCATATTTATTACAAAAATTGGCAAATATTACATACTCATAAATTTGTCTCTTTTACAATTATAAAATGTTTAACTATGTAATTACTACATATTTAAAAAATTCTACTAATTTATTTTTATTTAAATTACTATGACAATGAAATCAGCGCTTATAATAATTTCAGTAATGAAACTAATTGCAAAATTTCAGTTCATTTTATGTAATAAATTATTTAAATCAGGTTCATAAAAATAAAATGTGCATAACTGCTTAAAGTATTGTATTAACATTAAAACTTTGCAAGATACACTTTACAAAATTTCACTTTACAATGTGTATTCATATTAAAAAAGAATAAACAGTTCTGATTTCTTACAATGTTATTATCTTTATGTTATTATATTTATGTTTAAAATAATGAATAACCTGTATTTGTATTTCAAATGAATTTATTATACTTAAACTGACACAGTATAATTTTTCCTACGTCAATCAAACAGGCTTGCCTCTGTTATACCGTAAATATATTACTGTTTATTTTAATTTGATTTGTAAAGTCCATTCTAAAGTGTCATCAAACTACAGGAACTTTGCACAATGAATGTGCACAACTGTTTGAACCTGTGTTGAAGATCATCTTTTATGTATTAAATATTATGTATCTCCTATTGAATTCACATTATGGTAACTTATAAAGAAAAATTTATCCATAATCATCCAAATCTCACGTATATAGTGTTTTTTATTTTATTCAGTAAATTTAGATTGAGCTTTGTACAATATATTTCTTTATCTTCTACTTCGTACCACTTTTTTTTTTATAAATAATATTTCGTAACGAAAAGAATGGATAAGAAGCAGCTATATATATATATATATATATATACACACACACATATATATATATATATATAATTTCACTTGTTTCTCTTGTTGTGCTGATTTTTTGTAAATTGTAAATTGTACAATATAAATAGGCCTTTATGTTTTCAATGCCACATTTAAAATATGTAGCTTGTTGAAAAGTGTGTTACTTACAAAGTTACTTTTGCTAAATAAACACTACACACTCATAACATTTGCATCCTATGTATATTGAACATTACTAGCATCAAAGTATATTTCTATGAGAATACAATCTTCGATGTTGTAATTTAGATACAAAACTTAATAGTTTTAAAAAATGTTGGTATTACATTATATGATCATTTTGTTGCTATGCATGCTCTCTGTTTTAGTTTTTCTTCATTTTTGTTACTCTAAATGGTATTGACAGATTGCATGCTTATACAATGTTGTTAACAACATTTCTTTTTATGTTGTTTTGTGCTTTTTCTTAAATTGACTGTTTCACTGGTTTGTATAGCTTGTCGTTCCTTCCTTTCTTTTTTCGTTCTTAATACTTGCCGTGTTATAGCCATAAACATCTAAATGCAACAAATTAATATAGATTAAAATTATACCATTACCAAATTTAAGATATATATTTAATACTTAAAATTTTTAACAAATTATATCTAAATCACTCTTTCTTTTCCAAAACTGTAGTGTATAAGAATACATATACTTGTATTATACAATGATATTAATATTAATTAATTAATTAATTAATATTAATAATAAATGTAACAATATATTGTTATTTAATTAATTATTTAATTAAACAAAAGTTAAATAATTTGAATATGCCTAATTATTTATGATTTGCATCAATATATTTTTCATAATTCAAAAACAAAATAATATTAAAGTTTATAACATTATAATATTATAAAATACATATGAATATTATATGTATTTGTATTATATTATATGAATATTTATGTATTTAATATTATATATAATATATATACAAGTTATAAAATTAATAAATTGAATAGTTCTTACATTATAATTTAAAAAATATATTCTATTTTTATAATTTAAAAAATATATAAAAATAAAAATAATTTGGTAAAATATATAGTGTAATAAATACAAATACTATTTACATTTGTTGGATAGAAAAAATATATTATATAACATTCAAAAGAAAAAATACTTTTGTAACACTAATTCAAAATAGACAAAAGTTTCCTGAGTAATATGCAATTGCCAAAAATATTAAAACATGTTTATATTCTGATTTAAAAACACAATGATTAATTTAACAAAATAAAAGTTATTAGACAACAGCTATATATATGCTACATACATGAATCTAACATTATATGCTAGATGTTACAAATCATTCTTTATAAAAATATTATACATATTATACATATTATACATATTACTTACTTCTTGCACATTAATATTATCTTTAGCGGAAGTTTCAAATAACTGAATTCCCATTTGATTAGCAAATCTTTGTGCATCTTCTGTTAATACAACCTTTTCATTAGGTGCATCATTCTTATTTCCTACAAGTACCCTGTTGACCACATCACAATTTTGTTCGATTTCATGCAACCATCTTTTAACGTTAGCAAAAGAGTCACCACTGGTCACATCATACACAACTATAACACCATGTGTTCCCCTGTAGTAAGTTGAAGTTATTGTCCGAAAACGTTCTTGTCCAGCTGTATCCCAAATTTGGAGCTTTACTCTCTCACCATCTACATCCACAGTTTGAATTTTAAAATCCACTCCTATTGTCGTTATGTAACTGCCATTAAAAGTATTATCAGCAAATCGTAACAGCAGAGAACTTTTTCCTACTCCTTAAACAAAAAATAAAGGAGACATATTGAATATAACTTAACAAATATAACTCATATAAATCTAAATGTATTTATATAATGAAATACATGAAGTTAATAGACAACAAATAGAAACTATCTATTTAAAAGAAGAAATGTGATGAGTAATATTTAAAATGAAAAAAAAATTAAAAGAAATAATATATTGATATTCAGATATGTTAAAATACTTTCTATATTCTTATATATTAAAATTTAAAGAATATATAATAAGAACATATATTAAACTTAACATATTAAAACTTAAAGAATATATAATATGATATATGTACTTGATATTTTTATCTCAAATTATAAATAGATAATTTTATAAACTATATACATACATTTAACCTATTTTTCAACATTTACTGATTATACAGTTTGATAAATATTGTGCTGTTGTATTACATACAATGAGTATTATTAATATTATAGTTTTCAAGATAAGTATCTAATGATCGCTATAATAAACTAATAACAACATTAAAATACCAAACACAATCAAAAAATATAAATAATAACAATGAAAATTAAGTTAAATATGTAAAAAATACATGTAAAAAATAATATTGTGACATCCTTAAAAATTTTTAATTTGATAAAATAAACAAGAAATGTGTTCTATCACACTCATTAAAAAAGAATTTCAGTTACTCATTTATATTACATATACGCCATAAAACTGATATTATTATTGTACTATCTTACAATATTATCATATTATCAAACGTTTACATAGTGAATATTTTTTAGAATTTTCAAAAAATTACTGAATATATGATGTATCTATTACGTTAAAAAATTACGTTGTAAGATTAAGAATTTTTTTATCATAATTAATATAACATGAATGTAATGTAGGATTAACTTGTTTAATAATATTAATTATACAATTCCAAACAATCTTATGTATGATCTTTAGTATATATTGAGGAAGAAATCACTTGTAAACAGAAAATTTCATTGAATTTTAGGAAAAACAAAATTTTCTGGATTAAATTTTCTGCTTTTATTACTTCATATGAAATATAATTCTCTATTAACTTTAATTACAATAAATTTGTTTATTTTTTACGAAATGTATAAATAAAAACGTAAATTTTTAATGATTCTTTTATCAAAAAATACAAATTCTTTTGTGTGATTTTTTTTCGTATTTGCGACATAATATTTGTTTGTAACTGAATATATTTAACATCGATGAAGATTTATGCACTTACCACTATCTCCTATTATTAGAAGCTTAAATAAATGGTCATATTCCCGGGCCATTTTGACATGTATGACGTTCAGATCTATCAAACGTTTCCTCGTGAAAACAGTTCGAAATATAGACGATACATTCACTGTATCGTAAATGACTTGAATTATCTATGAAAAAAATGTGAGAAATGAAATTACTAACTTGATATAAATTGAAATAACGTTTGCGGCTTATTCCAAGTGAAAGACTCCAGTATCAAATAAGCGCCATGTTTATTTGGTGTGATATCACAATTCATTATCACTATTAAGAAAAAATTATATTCGTTAACAATGATAGTTGTTTCACAATAATTCAATAATCAGTGTACCTCATTTATTTTAAAGACTATAATTTTACGCAATGAATAAAATTTTTATATATTCACCAATAATCATTCGTTAGTCGTATCAAGGAAAAAAGAATTTTGAAAAATATTTTTTGTCAAAAAGAATAAACAATTACGAAATATTAAATAAATTACGAACCAAAATTTTGCATTGCTATTCAATTAAAGAACAAGTATTTTATTCTGTTTTTTATAAAAAGATAGCAAATGTTGGAACTATATACGTATATACATTCATGAACATGATTTATCAATACCAGACTACATCCTTTACTACTACAAACTCTTCTTATATTAAAATTATATATATATATATATATATAAAATTGTAATTAAGAGTTTGTATTGTATTACATATCGTGTGTGTGTATATATATATGTATACATGCATATATGTATGTATGTATATGTGATACGAGAAACAACTTGTATATAATTTAAAATATAAAAATTTACTAGATATTCGTACTGATTCTCTTGCTCTACCTCCCCTGCTTCTTTTCCATCTCATTCTCACTTACTCCTTCTTTCATCTTCCATTTTTTTTTTCTTAACCTTAGAACAATACTGCAGATACCGGCGACTTCAAAAGGCTATATGTAGCAATAACAATTGTGTAGATAAAAATTAGTATATCAAATTGTTTACTTTATTAATTTACATAAGAATCCATAGAATAACAGTAAAAAGGAAAAGTTTGGAAATATTACAGTGTTTAACTCTTAATATCCGTAACCAGTTCTTAACATTTTTAAAACAAATTTTTGCTTTTAAAAAAAACAAAAGACTATTTTGTACAAAATTGACAAATTTATTTATACATGTATATAAAAAAATTATCGTAGTTTTTTGAAAATTCGTCAGTTGCTCTAGTTGCATTATTATCTAGTTGCATTGTATTATATAAGTCTTATTTAAAACATAAACTCTAATTTTTTTTAAACACGTACTGTAAAATGAAAAGAGCAAATAACATACATTAGATTATATTATAATTGAGATGAATGAATTCATAAAGGTTAGGTCGTCGTATGGACTACTTAGCAATAAAAGAAGATTCCAAATTACGTATACGTATGTGCATAAGTACTTTGATGAATGACTTCAGTTCTCAGCGTATCAGTAATAATAATAAATAATTTTTTCTAATTGAACTCTCATTATTATTAGAAGTCTTAATTTTTAAAATTGTAAATAATTTCCAGTTATTATGCAGAAAGTTTCTGGCAGAAACCAATCACTGTAGAGTTTTCTGGAAACCATTCAAATTAATTTCAAACGTGTATGTTAAAGCGTATGCGCTGAAATAAATTGCAATGCCTGGATTAATTCCATAACAATTTTTATTAAGCAAGTATGCCTCAGTATTTCTAAAAATAAAAAATCTTTTTCGTAGCAATTTGTCAAAAAGTTGACATTTAAAATTATAGTTACATGTGGTTGTGACTAGCTACAGAAGCATCACTCTACTTACTACTTGTTTACTATTTAATGTATACTATATAAGCAAAGTTTAAATAATAAATATTATTTGTTCATTATTTTATATAGAAACAATGAAATTTGATAATAATTACAAGTACTTTGGTGAAACAAAATAAAATAATTACAGTTTAAATGATCATTATTGTATTAATTAATACAAACAAATAGTGACAAATTAAAAATCTAATGTAAATATAGTAAGTTCGCAATTTTCTTTATTCTAATTTATAGCAACTTTAAAAAATTCTAAATTTAAAGAGAAGTTAGTTTACTGATTAGTAAGTTTTAACCTCTTCTTATTGTAAACAATATTTAGTAGAGTATGTATTATCATTTAAATATATACAATATGTATGTACAATTATATTATTAATGCAAGTATAACACAAAATTAAGTAAATACATATAATATTAATTTTATATGTGTAGAAATATATGAACTAAGTAGCTGTCACGGAAACAATGA